CCGCCTCCCATAGGGGAGCAGGCTCCTGGCCGAGTCGGCGCCCAGACCCTCGCCCGGCGCGCTGACCTCCGCTTCCCCGCACGCCGCCTCCGCCTATGCCGACGCCAGCCGGCAGCCTGGTGCGCCCTTGCGGGACTGCCCGCTAAGCGCGGGGCGGCGGCGGCGGCGAGAGGTGGGCCCGGCCTGGAGCTGCCCTCGACAGCCCCAAGTTTGCGAGTTGCACTAGTTGGCAGGGGGCGCGGAGAGGCCGGACTGGGGGCCATGGAGGAGGACCAGGGGTCGTCGCCGGCGGCGGAGTCGGCGCTGGAGAAGAATGTGGCGGAGCTGACCGTCATGGACGTGTACGACATCGCGTCGCTCGTGGGCCACGAGTTCGAGCGGGTCATCGACCAGCACGGCTGCGAGGCCATCGCGCGCCTCATGCCCAAGGTCGTGCGCGTCCTGGAGATCCTGGAGGTGCTGGTCAGCCGCCACCACGTCGCGCCTGAGCTGGACGAGCTGCGCCTGGAGCTGGACCGGCTGCGCCTGGAGAGGATGGACCGCATCGAGAAAGAGCGCAAGCACCAGAAGGTGGGCAGCGGCCTCAGCTTACTCACCCAGGGAATGGGGCCCCTGGGACCTAAGGGTGCGGCAGCCCTGGGCACTGTAGGTGCCCACGGATGTGTGTGCAGGAAAGAGAGGGTGGGGGTGGGAAGGAGACCACTGACTTACTTGGGCCCAGTCAGGGGCACCAGGTATGTGCCACCCCACAGATGAAGAGCAGTTCTCTAGATTTAGACTTGACTTCTAATTCCACCTTTAAGTGGTGTGGTCTTGGATAAATAACTTAACCTCTCTGGACTTAGTTTGCTCACAGGTAAATGGTGACCAGAGTAGTGACCACCTCTTAAGGACTAAGGAGATTGAACCCATGTAAAGTGCTTCCATATTATTCTTTTCCGGAAATGAAATGAATCCCTGCCCTTCAGTGTTACCCAAGCAGATACCACACGGGCCACTTCATCCCACCCTAGAGCCCCACAGAGACAAGGGGTGTGACTTCAGTCACTGAGGACATTAACCCCCAGTCTCCGGCTTTCTATTTGCAAATTGTTTTCCAGGCTTCCTTCTCCTTTACCAACCTTAGGTCTGAAGTGCTTTCCTCTCCTTGATTTTTTTTAAAAAAAGATTTATTTATTTACACATACAGAACTGGGGTACAAGCCAGAAGTGCAGGAGCTGTGAGAGGATTCACCAGAGACAGAGTGGGGAACAGAATAGGCAGATTGACTGAAATACACTGCTGAGGGGAGCAGCAGGGTGGGTCAGGAGAGATCTGCTGTGCCATGTGTGTCACCTCCCTGATGGGGGGTGAAAGATAGGGGGGCTGGAGGGAGGTGATCAAACTTGTGGGGAAGCACCTGCAGCCAGCTTCACTGTGCTGTGCTTTAACTAGTTGCACCACCAAGGAGGGCCTACCCCTCCTTGATTTTATCTTTAATCCTCTGTGAGGCAGGAATTTTTTTCATTAAAAGTTGAAGACACAGAGAGTCAGAATGCAAGGGAGGGATTTGTCCCAAGTTAGTGCTGAAAGCGTCACAGCCCGGGGACTGAACTGGGGGAAGGTGCTGATTTGGACCAAGTTGGCTAAGCCTTGGCCTGAGCACCAGGCTCCGCTGGGCTCCTCCAGACAAGGTGCCTTGGGAGAAGGAAGTGGGAGACATATGGTTTCCTGCCCTGACCTCAGCCCAGGGAAGCGCCTATCAGAGCTTCCAGACTCAGAATGAGAGGAAATGCCTTTCCTGGGGGGATCAGGGTGTCTGAACAGGGGGCATGCTGTGTGGCCTCAGGAAATACACTTGGCTTCTCTGAACCTCCCTGGCAGCTCATCAAGTAATGTGTATTTTGAGGTCCTTGTGTTTTCAAGGAAACTAGCCCAGACCATATCCACCATGCCAGTGGCTGGCTAAGAGCACTGGTGTTTGGAGGTTTGACTATGTTTGTCACACAGGTCCCTGTGTCCTGCAATCAGGAAGGAAACTCAAGTGTCTAGTAATTAACATTTCCAAGATCACACCGGGAGGAGCGTACAAATGCCCTGCCCTGGTCAAGATTCCCAGGGTCTTGGGAGCTGCCACTTCTGGGCAAGACACCTTGCTTCTTGCCTCAGTTTCCTCCACTGTAAAAAAGAGATCACAGTGGAACCATCTTGGAGGGTTGTGATGAGAGCAGATAGAAAGAGCTTGGGGCAGAGTCCAGCCCGTCACAAGGACCTTATGAGTGTTCACTGTTGCCTTTATGCTGGAGACTTTCACCAAGGTGGTCTCAGGTGGCAGGCTGATGTTGGCAACGCCCCTCCCCAGGCACCCCTGCAACTCTCCTGGAGGCCCAGGGAGGAGGAGAGGGTTTAACAGGGGTAGGGGCTTAGCCCAGAACACCCTGAAGCGCTGGCACCTGTGCCCCCAGCCCTGGCTTTGTAGACCTGCTGCACTGGGCTGGGCGCACCCACGGGAACCATCGAGGTGCCTAGGCCTGCAGCCGGTGGGGTTCCAGCCAGCTGCACTTGTCGCTTCTGTAGTGCCGCCAGCCAGGAAGTAAACACCAGTGTCCAGAGCCAGGGCTTATTTGTAAACACAGAAGCTGACTGCTCCTCAGTCAGAGGACAAAATCGTCTTCCTCCATCCCAACCCCCGAGTCTGCTCCTTGTTTTCCTGTAGTCTCTAGACTCAGGGTGTTACTGTCACAGAAATCTTCTTGGCATGTCATTTGCCTTATCCCTTCCTTCCTTCCCTCTTTCTGCACTCACTCACTCTCTATTTCAACAAAAGCCTCTCCACTAAAGTCTGGGTCATCTCTTCTGCCAGCCCCTCCTCCCCCACAGCCCCGAGTGCTCATTACTCAGACCCAGCACAGTCTTACCATAGCCTTCTGCTTACTCAGTCTGCACCCTGTTGATGGGTCACCATGCGCAAAGCATCCTCTTAGGTGATGTGGGCACCGCAGAGAAAGGAAAGCCAGTTCTTCATCTCAGGGTAGGAAACAGGGAAGACAGGAAACACACACACAGATCAGTCACTGTGCAGACACGGGTGCATGCATGTAAGGTAGTCAGCAGGTGCTATTCAGTCATTCAACAAACTTTTATTGAGCACCTACTGTTTGCTAGGCACTGTACTGGGAGACACCTGTGCCCACAACAGGTGAAATCTTTGCTCTCATGGATTTGACTTTCTAGTGCACTGTAGGCCCCATAGAAATGTGCTGTGGATGTCATATCAGTACAAAGGCACCGAAGAGGTTAATATTAATAACACCTTATCAGACTCCATCTATGCAGAATATTATATCAACACAAAATCGGTGTAAATATTTTTTATGAAGCCATAACAAACGTATAACACTGTACTAATAATTTTAGGTGTGCAGCCTAACTGTTTGAAGAATGTATATGTTGTGAAATGATCATAATAATTTAGTTAACTTCACATAGTTACAAAGATTTTATTAATGAGGCATTTTACATTCTTGTTTGCCTATTATGACTTCAAAATCCAGTGTGTCTTCAACCCTGACTGTACACTTCTGTTCAGCCCACGTGTGGCTGGTGGCTGCTCTGTGGCACAGTGCAATTCTAATGTAGGAAGATAGCTTTTTTCTTTATGTTTTAAAAACTCCAACTCATGATAAATGCCATGAAAGAGACAAAATGACAATATGAAGGAGACTGGCTAGGGTGGAGGTCCAGGAGATAAGGCAGTTCAGGAAGGCTTCCCTGAGGTGGTGAGATCTGAAAGAAGGGTAGGTGCCAGCCACAGAGAGATCTAGAGGAGTGGCTTTCCAGGCAGAAGACACAGCAAGTACAAAGGCCCTGAGGTAACTCACCCTGAATGAGTTGGTGAGTTTTGGGAACACAAAGCAGCAGGGTGGTTGGAGCAGAGTAAGGGAGTGGGAAGATGAGGCCAGGGAGATGCAGGATCTGATTATGCAGAACCTTGGAGGCCAGTGTCAGGAGTTTGAAAACTGTTGGTGCTGAGAGAAGGCCTAGGAGGTGAGCAATCTGGGCTGACTTCCTGGAAGAGTCTTTTGCAGTGGTGTGAAGCAGGATTAAATTCTTCACCATCTTCTCAGAAGCAAGAATGGGTTCCCTCGACATCAACTTTCATTTCTTGAGAGAAGAAATAAAGAACTGAGCCTGTATTTGGCTCCTATTGCTGCTGTAACAAATTATCACAAGCTTACTGGCTCAAAACAACACAAAATTAATTATCCCAGAGATGATGGGCTCTAACAGGAAACATTATTAAGGATATTACTGAGTGGTGTCTTCATTCTGGCCTGGGGCCCCTTCGGCTCCCTCAGGCTTGCAGCCCAGCTCCATCAAGTCTCCAGGTCTCACCTCTGCTCTCTCTACCTGGGCTGCCTCCCTTTTCCACTTAGAAGGACCCTTGTGATGACGGGGGTACCCTGGCTAGTCCAAGAGAGTCTCCCGTCCTGCAGAGCCTTCATGGTTTCCATCTGCCCATATGGGCACATTCTCGGGTTCCAGGACATAGGATGTAGACCTTGTTCTGCCTCCCCCAGGCAGTTAGACTTGACTGCTCCCTAGGGTGCCCTGTGCCCAGCCCTGCAGGTGGGAGCAGAGGGCACAGATGGCAGTGTCTGGCTCTGCTTCCAACCGCAGGTTCGCAGGGAAAGTGATACACCCCCCCACACACACACCATTCCAGCACCACCTCTGTCCTCTGGCCACCCCCATCATCACCCTGGTGACCATGAACCAGCTTCGGGAATACTTTATTACTGGCTCTCTGTCCCCCATGCAGCAGGCTTCCTGACAAAGGAGATGGGATTTAGGAACTTATTTAAAAGATGAACGGAGGCGATGCTGGAGATCCGGCCACCTGGGCTGCCTGGTGATGGGCTGTGGCGGGAGCAGAAATCAGCAGACACATTGCTACCACTTTCCAGGTTGGGCAGGATTCCAAACATGTCCATAATTTACATATTACAGCATTCACATATATTAACCATTTCATCCTTGCAACTCTCAGCGGTAGCTATGACCCAGTTTTCCTCATTTCCCAGGCACCTAAGGGTTGAATAACTCATCTAAGATCAGCTAGTACCTGGGAGAGACAGGATATAGACTCATGGATCCATGCTTTAAATGTGGCTTTATTTATGATCCCCCACATACCTTTTATTTTGGAGGGGGCAACTGCTTTACTGACTATATTTCACAGACCGAGCTATTCACCCACTTACTTATTTAGCAACAACATGTTATTTTATTGTTTTAAAAAATTATTTCTTATATTGCTGTTAATTCTTGCATAGTGTTTGATGTCTCCCCTCTGTTGTAGTCCCCATCATTCACCCACCACCATGGCACCCCTGATCTATCACCACAGTCCCTTATGCATTCCCCAACCTGGTTTGGGTCCCTCTCCCTCCCCTGGTGTATGGGAAAAAAAGAAAACTGGCAAGCTGACCACAGATCTGAGGCAATTCACCCATTCAAAGCATACAATTCAATGGTTTTTAGATGCCTTGCAGAGTTAGGATGTCATAACACCAACTCTACAATCAATTTTACATTTTTATTACTCGCAAAAGAATCTTACACCTGTTCACTGAGACTCATTTCCCCACACGACCCAGCCCCAGACAGCCAGGCCCACCTGTCTGCAATTGGCCTACTCTGGACTTTCCCATTGATAGGATTCTGTAACATGTGGCCTTTGGTGTCAAGCCTCCTGTCCCCAAGGTTACAGGTGTCAGGGCCTCACACACCTCTGTCTGAATCACATGCTGTTGCGTGGATGAACCATACATGTTTGCTGAGGGCTAGTAGGTTGGCTTTGTGACTAGTGCTGCTGTAAACACCCATGCACCTGTATAGAGATTGGAGGGCATCTCTTCTCATTTCTCCTGGGTAGATCCCAGGAGCAAAATTGCTGGGTCAGATGGTAACTGTGTTGCACTTTTTGAGAAACTCCAAACTTCACTGCACCTGCGCTATCCCACCAGCCATGCAGGAGGCTTCCAATTGTTCTGTATCCTTATCAACACTTATTATTGCCTGTTCCTTTGATTATAGCCATCAACACAATACATTCAATAGATCTATCTCATTTATTCTTACATCCACCCAGTGAGCCTTTCCATTAGGACTCTCCAGTTCAGGGTGACTAAGGCATACCGTGGTTAAAGTGTGATGCTCCAGACCCCCCAAACAGAGGCAGACAAGGGGCTCTGGGGCCAGCTGGTATCCGTGGGTTTTTGCAGCCTCCTCCTCCACATGTAGAAAGGTTTCTCCTGACTGAGCATCTGGCAGGGGTCAGAGAGGTGACCACCCAGAGAGACTGGGGGTGTTCATAATCCCCTTCATCTAGGCCTGGGCCCCTCATCCACTTCATCTCCTCGTAGACAGCTACATGGTTGTTCTTGGGGCAAGTTTCCAACCTCGTGGGTCCTGATGGCATAAACAGGGGTCTGCCCAGGAAAGGGTGCCTGTTAGTTCTTGCAAAATTGCCATGTAGACCAGCAGTAGCCTTGTCTGCACCATAGCCTTCTGCCTGATTTTCATGGGATAGGGGTCACCCCAAACTCCCAAGGGTGGTTGTGAGGTGCTGCATTAACTCCTGTGGCCTGTCACATTGGCAGGAGCTGGAGCTGGTGGAGGATGTGTGGCGGGGAGAAGCCCAGGACCTCCTCTCCCAGATTGCCCAGCTGCAGGAAGAGAACAAACAACTCATGACCAACCTCTCCCACAAAGACGTCAGCTTCTCCGAGGAGGAGTTCCAGAAGCATGAAGGTAAGAGGAGAGGTCAACATGGGAGGGACAGTGAAGGCCATTCCTACCAGCACCACCCCCACTCCCAGTAATGCCGAGGGGAGTCCCTGAGCCTGGGCACCTGAGCTGGCGCTTTCTAAAGTCCCAAGCCTCCTGTTTCAGTGTTACCTGGATTCTCATCATTGCTATCCTGCGGGGAGTTGCTGAACTTCATTTACAGGTGATGCCAAATTGTTATTGATTCCTGTTTGTCTGTTTATCAGGGAGAAACATCAGGAGGCTGATGATGGGGTTCTAGGTGAGGGAAATAAAGGATAAATATGTGAAATAGATGACAGTTCCAGATGGGGGCAGTGGAAGAATTAAAATGAGGATAGAGCAAGTTGGTGGGAAACTGGAGGAAGATTTGATGACCAGGGAAGATCTCTAGCAAGATATTTGAGCACTAACAAGGTGACAGTGGGAAACATCCAAATATTTTCGGAGAGAAGCAAGTGTAAAGGTTCTGGAGCCTGAGGGTTTAAGAAAAAGTGCAGCAGAAGATGGTGGAGACCAAGAGTAGTTAAAGATGAGGCCCAGAGGGGTCAGATCATGTAGCTCTAAAGAGACCAAGGCTTGGATTTTATTTGAGTCTCTGGGAAGAAATTTGAGACTCTTCAATAGCTCACATTTAACATTATGGCAACCCAGAACCAAGTGGCTCCTGAGCCCTTCAAATGTCATTCAGCTGACAGTTTTCTAGAGCCTTCACGACAATACCTCCATAGGTGCTAGGGCAGCAAGGACAGACAGAGAGTTGGTCTGGGCCTCTGGAGCTGCACTGGCTCTCTTCTCCCCTGCAGCTGCCTGTTCACCAGACTGCCTCTTGCAGCTCACCCTAAGAAATCTCAGACCCATACCTTTAGTTGGCATAAACCGCTTGGGTCCCCACACAGGCATCTCTTGTGTTTGATGGATTGGGGGCTGGACTTATCTGGGGTCTAGAGTTCAGAACTTGTAGCTACAACTTTGTGAAACGAAAGTAATGCACTGATAAATACTGCCGGGCCCCAGAAAAAGGGAAATGCTCTATCCAGGAGCTGGAATTCATTTTGTACAAGGAAAACAAAAGTCCGTGGTTAAAACCTTTGACTGTAGCTTAGACTGCCCACATTTGAACCCTAATGCCAAAACTGACTTGCTAAGTGACCTTGATCAAGCCACTCAACCTTGGTGTGTTTACGTTGTCTCCTATATAACAGTGGGAGAATTAACTGTGTCTTCTTCATAAGGTTGTCATGAGGATTACATGGGTTAATACACATCACCCATTTAGAACAGCTGGTATATATCTTCAGCCAGTGTATTGCCAGTTTTGACTGCAGGCTGTGGTTATGTAGCCCAGCTTCCTTATTGAGTAGATGAGGAAATGTAGACTCAGAGAGGGCCAGTGATTACCCCAGGGTGGCACAGCAACTTAGTGGCAGAATGAGGACTAGAACTCAGCGCTGCTGAAGTTGTCCCCCTGAATCTAGGGTTTGTTTTAGAGCTCCTGGAGTCATGTGGTTCTGGCTGGGAGAAGATGGGACTCATGCCCCACCCCACAGATCAGGCCACAGTGATAGCGCAGTGTCCCAAAGCTCACAGTTCCAGACAGAGCTGTTGATTCAGTCACCCTCTATCTCATTTGTCATTAGTGGGCTTTGTACCTATCTATGCCAGGTTGAGGACAGAGAGCCCTATGCTCAGCCTGAGTCTCCCTTCTGCAGTGCCAGAGGAGCAGAAAGGAAAGACTTGGCTAAAAGAAAATATTTTCTACTTAGACTTCTGACACAAAATGTGGGTATTTCCCCAGCCCCCGCCCCCCAACCATTTTTCCAACTTTGCAGATATCAACTGTGTCCTGTAATCTAATTCAGTTATAACGTTTACTTCCGCAGTTAACCCCAGACCACACATGTCTGCCTCCACTTAGAAGTCATTGCAAGTGATGGGGCTCCAGGTTACCCACACTTCTGACCCATTTGGGTGCTAAGTCAGGGGTTCCCACAAATCCCCCCTCAGGTTCAGAACATTATATTCTGAGAGGACTTAAGAACTCAGGGACACACTCTGCTTGTGTTGACTGGTTTATTATAAAGGATGTGATCACAGCCAGATAAGAGGTATGTACAAACAGGACCCGAAGGGTCTTGAGCACAAAAGCTTCTGTCCCCATGGAGTTTGGTATATGCCACCTCCATGCAGGTGGATATGGTCCCCAGCCCAGAAGCTTTGGGAATGTCATTGCTTAGGGTATTTCTAGAGGTTCCATTACACAAGGATGACTGATGAAACCAGTGGTCTTTGGGATTCATACCATCTCCAGCCACTCTCCCCACCCTGACGGTGGGAACGGAGAGAGAGGCTGAAAGTTCCAAACCTCTAATTACATGTCTGGTTCCTCTGGCAACCGGCTCCTTCTTGAAGCTATTTAGGAGACCATTGAGAGTCACCTCATTAACATAAATCTAGGCCTAGTTGAAAAGAACTTGTCATGATAACAACTGACATTCCTCTCACCACTTTTCACAGTCAGGGAATTCCAAGAGCTTTAAGAGCTCTTGTGCCAAGGACCAGGTTGGAGACCAAATATATTCTTCTTATTCTATCATAATATCCCAGTATGATAGTGGTATATAATTAGTCCCTCAAATAAAGGCAAGAAGCAAGAGAAAAACAGAGCAAGTGTAACAAATAGAAAGCAGAAAAGGACTAAATTATAAGATGGGAGAGTTACAGTTTACACCAGCAGTTACATCAAATGTAAATGGACTAAAAATTCTAGATAAAAGGTAAATGTTGGAAGTTAAAAAATCCAGTTACGTGTTGTTTAAAACCGATATTGCTATAAAGTTTGAAAGTAAAAGACTAGGGAAAGATATTCTAGGTAAACCAACACCCAAAGAAAGTTGGTGTGGCTACATAAGAACAAAATAGACTTTAGGCCAAAGCCTTATTACAGATAAAGAGGGTCACTCTGTAATGAGATTTACTTCTCCATAGATCTACTTCCTCTTTGGTAAAATGTGGCTGTTATGACGATCAAAGAAGTTAGTGTATGTCAAATATTTAGCACATAGTAAGCTCTGGATTAATGTTGGCTATTACTTGTTTCATAACATCTTTACTGAGATATCAGTATACAATTCAGTGGCTTTTAGTATATTCCCAGAGTTGTGCTATCCACAGAATATTTTCATCACCTTAAAAAGAAACACCATCCCCTTTCATTGTCATTGTATATTCCTTCCCACGTCTGTCTCACAGCAAGCCATAAGCAACTACTTCTGTTTCTATGAATTCATGTTGTCTAGATATTTCACATAAAGGGACTCTTACATGGTTTTCTGTCTGACTTTTTTCACTTAGCATCATATTTTGAAGGTTTATCTGTGTTATAGTGTGTATTAGAATATTCCTGTTTATGGCTGAATAATATTCCGTGATGTGGCTAGACCACATTTTGTTTATTCATTCATCCATTCATGAACTTTTGGGTTGTTTCCAGATTTCGGTCATTCTGAGTAGTGCTGCTGTATGATTCTAGTTTTCTGGAGTTACTGCCTGGGAGTGGAATTGCTGGGCCACGTGGTAGCATCTTTTCATCTGACATTTCTGTGGGTACCCAGAGTCCCCTTAGGGTTGCCTGCATACTCTATACCTGCCTTATTGGTGGCCCTAATGCCTGGATGTAAATGTTCCCCCCAGCACCCTCCTGGCCTTGACCCGAGCACCTGAACATTCCCTGCCACCTTACCTCACCTGTGAGTGATGCATGTGTCCAAATGGAGCTCTGGCCCCAGCTCTCCAGGCCCGTGCCAACCCATCAGGGAACAGCTCTCTTGCAGGCATGGTAGTGCTCTCAGCACATCCAGTGTGGGTCCAGCAATCCAGGCTCCCTTGGGAGGCTGGCTTCCCTGCCCACAGCAGCCCCCATCCAAGTGAAGAGGCTGGGCAGATGCCAGGCCTGCTGGCCACGGGTATTTTTACCCACAGGGGAAACCATGGGAACACAACAAGAACAAAGCATGTCTTCCACTGTGAGCAAAACAGACATGGGGAAGAGGTCTGGGAGAAGGCGGAGGCCAGGAAGTTAAGGACTCAGTGCCAGGCACCTGGGGGGTGGGGGCAGACTGAGGACTTGGAGGTGATGAGGGGCTGGTAGGGGAGCCTGCCCAGTGGGCTCAGGCTGCCTGCCTGAGTACCAGGACTGCTCCTGGTCACACTCACAGAGGATTCCAGAATGAAGTGACAACCTACCCTGTTTTTGGACATTCATCTGGTTGGCCAGAGGGTAGTAAGTAAAAACTACTTGTTAGCACCTGAAGAAATACATTCAACTGGGTAGATGGGGCACAGAGCTACACCCTAGCATTCTGGGGGAAATTCTTGAGCTCTGAACAGATGCCTCAATCAGCTGAGGCTGTGACCACTTGTCATTTTCTGAAGGGCAGCTGAGAACAGTACTTCTTGATAGAAACAAGGCAGGCCATATATGTGATTATATTCTTTTTTTAAAAAAAGATTTATTTACTTATGCATACCAGAGCTGGGATATAGGCCAGAGGTTCAGGGTGGGAGAGTTGAGAGGATTCACTAGAGACAGAGTGGTGAGCAGAACAGGCAAATCAACTGAAATCTACTGCTGAGGGGAGCAGTGGGCGAAACAGGAGAGGTATGCTGCGTCATGTGGGTCACCTTCCTGGCCAGGGATCAAACTTATGTTGCAGTGGTTGCAGATAGCTTCATAGTGCTGAGACTTAACCCCTTGTGCTACCAAGAGGCCCCCCTATAATTACATTCTTTTTTTAAGATTTGTTTATGCATACAGTACTGGGGTATAGGCCAGAGGTACAGAGGCAGTGAGAAGATTCACCATAGCCAGAGTGGGGAACAGAACAGGCTGATCCACAGAGTACACTGCTGAGGGGAGCAGTGGGCGGGTTAGGAGAGGTTGCTGGGCCATGTGGGTCACCTCCACGGATAGGATCCAACCCATGCTGAAGCGGCTACAGCTAGGCATCATAGTGCTGGGCTTTAACCCATTGTGCCACCAGGGGAGGGTCCTATATTCTTTCTGGATGTTGCATTTTTAAAAATTCAGTGGGTTCTGTGTGTGTTTACTCACAGGTGTGTGTGTGTAGTGACCTTTTTAAGGATTTATTTGTTTATGCACACAATAACTGGCCAGAGGTACAGGGCAGGAAGGGATTCATCAAAGACAGAGTGGGAAGTATGACAGGAAGATCTACTGAAATAGAGCAGTGGGCGAGACAGGAGAGGTCTGCTGTGCCATGTAGACCTCCCTGGCTGGGGATCTCACTCAGGCTGCAGTGGCTGCAGTTAGTTTCATAGTGCTGAGACTTACCCCCCCCCCTTGTGCCACCAGGGAAGGCTTCATCTAAACCTTTTTTTTAAAATTTATTCATTTATGCATACAGAACTGGGGTACAGGCCAGAGGTGCAGGGATGGTGAGAGGATTCACCAGTGACAGAGTGGGGAGCAGAACAGGCCGACTGATGGAGTACACTGCTGAGGGGAGCAGCGGGCGGGTCAGGAGAGGTCTGCCGCGCCATGTGGATCTCCTCCAGGGGTGGGGATTGAACTCATGCTGAAGTGGCTTTAGCTTCTTAGTGCTGTGCTTTAAGTCGCTGCACCACCAGGGAGGGCCCCATCTAAACCATTTTTAGTGTGCAGTTCAGCGCTAAGTATAGTCACTTTATCATGCATCCAATCTTGAGGCTCTTTTTATCTTGCTAAACCTGGCCCCAGCAAACTCTAACTCCCCAGCCCCCTGCCCAGCCCCATGCTGTGCTCTTTCTGTCTCTGTGACATGGGCTCCCCTGGTGACCCCACAGAAGTGGAATCACATAGTGCTTGTCCTTTTGTGACTTGTTTCTTGATGTAACCTAATGTCCTCTAGGCTTGGCCTCCTGGTGGCTGGGCTGCCATCCTTTTAGGGCATATTCCCTCGTGCAGATTTTTGCTACCCTGTGCACCTGGGTGACTGATGTGTTGTGCATTACAGCATGCATGGATGCCTATTCCAAGCTCCACGGCCACAATGGCTGCTGAATTGGCCACTCAACGGTGGGCAGTGTTCTCTGAAGCAGAATGGGCAGACCTTCGTTCAAATCCCAGCCCTGCCCTTCCCACAGGGCACTGGGGCTGGCCACTTACATTTCCTCTTCGGGTTCCTCACCTGCAGAAAGGGGATAGCAACTTCTGACTCGCCAATGCTGTCCCCAGTGCTGCCCATTCCAAGCTGTGCCACAATGAACAGAGTCTGTCTCGGCCTCGGTTTTTCATATCTGTAAGATGGGACAGATGTTATGGACAACAGCAGTAACAGTACCCATTTCTAGTCATCAAGGGTGAGATTGAAACAGGCAGGCTTAACTTTGGTAGTGTGGAGCAAGAACCTAACCCGACCCCGTGTGGTGCCCGCCAGGCGTGGTTGAGAAGGGCTGCCCGCAGGACAATCCTGCTTTTGCACCTATGACATCAAGCCTCAGGCTCTTCAAGGGCGAGGCCCTGCTATGTGGCCCAGCCAGCACTGCAGGCTTCTCTGGACTCGATGCTCCTTCAGGGTGTCGGCCGCCTGCATTGGCCGCCTGTGGCGGAACATCCAGGACCCACAGGGGTCAGTGAAAAGATGGAATGGAACAAATTGGAGGAGAGATTCACACAGGAAGAATTTCTTCTCTCCTGGGGGCTAGGAGATCTGACCATGAGCCCCCTGCCTTCCAGGGGAGGAACAGGGGGACTGTTTCTCCCATGTTAACTTCTGGGGGAGCCTGGTGGCTGCCACTCCAACCCAGGTCTCCTGGGGCACAGGGATTAGGTCCCCTCAACTATCAGGTCCTAATCCCCTGAACCTGTGGATGTCCTTTACAGATAGGGTTTAGTTCCGGATTCTGAGATGGGCAGGTTGTTCTGGCTCGTTCACGTGGGCCCTAAGTGCCATCCTTACGAGACAGAGGCGGTGCTCTGACCCCATGGAAGGGAGAAGCTGTGGGACCACTGAGATAGAGGCTGGCTGATCCAGCCCCCACCAGCAGAATCTGCAGGAGAAAATAAACCTCTAATGTTTTAAGCTCCAAATTGTGTTGGTCATTTGTTACAGCAGCACACAAAATGAATTTAACACTCTCTGTCCAGTTCGTTAACTCATCACTGAGCAAGCACCTAGTATTGCCAGGCGTGGTGCTAGACAAGAGATAGGGCAGTAAGTCAGGCAAGGCCTGCCCAGGGGACCAGTGTAGGGGACATCGGTGCGCCTGCTGGGTGTGGCCGTATCTGTATCAGCGCAATCCTCACAGCAGCCCTGTGGGGTCAGTAGGTGCTGTCACCCTTCCCATTGTAAAGATGTGGAAACTGAGGCACAAAGTAGCTGGCAAAAGCTAATAAATGGGAGCACTGAAGTTTGAGCTTCAGAGCCCACTGTCTGAACCTCAGGGCAGGGTCTTCCTTAGGGGAGAGAAGGTGCAGACCCTTAGTTGTAAAAAAACCAGCGATGGTAATAAATGAGGGGTGAGCATGGGAACTTCTTGGAGGCATTCAGGAAGGAAGGGCCTCTGAGCTGAGACCTGAAACTTGAGGGGGGCCAGCCAGGGGCAGGGTGAAAAGAAAGGAATTTCAGTGTGGGAGGAGCAGTGGCAAATGTTCAGAGTCGGGGGTGCACAGAGACGCAAGTGCTGATGGGAGCGGATGGAGAAGATGAAGTGAGGAGAAGGTGAGGTGGGTTGGGTTGACGTAGGGGAGGGAGGAGAACTCACCACTGGCCTTGCTCACCTACCCAGGCATGTCAGAGCGAGAGCGGCAAGTGATGAAGAAGCTGAAGGAGGTGGTGGACAAACAGCGTGATGAGATTCGAGCCAAAGACCGAGAGCTTGGTTTGAAAAATGAGGATGTGGAGGCTGTAAGTGATGATCTCTAGCCCTGAATCCACCTCCCCAACCCCACCCCTGGCCAGTAGGTACCAGCAAGAGACTGGCTTCTCCTTTGAGAGGGTCCCCTTGGTCATGCTTAGGCTCCATAGGATGGGGACCCTGCGGCAGCTTGGAGGGCCCAGCCCTGAAACAGCAGGCTTGAGGTCCTGGTTCTACTCCCTCTAACGCCTGGGGAAGTCCCGAGGCCTGCTCAGCCTTTGCTCCGACCCTGAGGCTTTCTCTTAGTCCACCTGCTTCTTGTCCCATATGGTCCAGGCTGCTCCAGGAACTCTTATAGTGTGTCTCCCTGAATTAGAAAGACACCCTTATTACAATTTACTTCCATTTGTTGGGAAACTGTTATCATATACTAAGATGCTTAGCCTCCATCTGTCATAATCTTTAAATTGCCCATTATGGTACCCACAGAGCTATAAGCATATGAAGAAATTTCAGATGAATAAAGGTGTCTAAAGCATACGTGACATGCCTGTGGATGATTTGCCTTGTGCAGTGCTCAATGTGAGCTAGTGTATGTGGCAGCCCATACATCGGCTTTCCTCCCTCTCCAGCTGCAACAGCAGCAGACTCGGTTGATGAAGATCAACCACGACCTTCGTCATCGCATCACAGTGGTAGAGGCCCAGGGGAAGTCCCTGATTGAACAGAAGGTAGAACTGGAAGCAGATCTGCAAACCAAGGAACAGGAGATGGGCAGCCTGCGAGCGGAGCTTGGAAAGCTGCGAGAGAGGCTGCAGGGTGAGCTCAGCCAGAACGGAGAGAAGGAGCCAGAGGTGAGTGGTGAGTGGGAAGCTGGTCATGGACGTGACATGGGAGGTAAGTCTGTGGACGGGCTCCAGGGGGCAGGGCTGCCTTGTGTTCCTCATTATACTTAAGGAAACAGGCCCAGAGAGGGCCGACTTCACTGGAGGACACACAGCTCGGTAGAGGCAGAACTGGACCTGGAGCCCAGGACTCCCAGCAGTCCAGCCCAGAGTCTTCAGCTCAGTGACAGCTGCTGGGAACCTGCCATGCATGCAGGCATTCATTCAATTGTTGACTATGTGGCAGGTTCCCTGGGGGATAAAACGGAAGCAAGATAAAAACCTGGTTCCAGTCCACATGGAATTTGTTTTAGTGTTAGAGACAGATGTTAGACAAATTCCACATAACACCATATGACCTATGGTTCTACTCTAGATATCACCCTGAGAGAAACTCTTTGTCCACATTAAAACCTCTAGGCAAGTGATATAAAAAATAAACTATTATATTATTAAAAAAAAAAAACCTGAGATGAAAAAATGCACAAAATGATGTAAAAATAAACTATTATATTATTTTTAAAAAAAAAAACGATAGGCGAGGGCCCTCCCTGGTGGTGCAGCAGGTTAAAGCACAGCATTAAGAAGCTAAAGCCACTAACGCACGAGTTCAATCCCTGCCCACCCTGGAGGTGACCACATGGCGTGGCAAACTTCTCCTGACCCGCCCGCTGCTCCCCTCAGCAGTGTACTTCATCAGTCGGCCTGTTCTGCTCCCCTGTCTCTGGTGAATCCTCTCACCGCCCCTGCACCTCTGGCCTGTATGTATAAATAAATAAGTCTTTAAAAAAAACAACCCTATAGGCGAATATTTGTAACAGTTCTAGTCTTATAGACATAAGGTAGAAACAACCCTATGTCCATCAGCTGATGAATGAATAAGCAAAATGTGTGACGTGCAAGCGGTGGCGCAGTATTCAGCCACCAGAAGGAACAAAACACTGGGTCACGTTACGACCTGCATGAATCTCAAAAACATGCAATGTGAAGGTAGCCAAGACTAAAGGCCACGTGGAGGGAGGGTTCCGTTTCGATGAAGTGTCTGGACTAGTGGCGCCATAGAGACAGGATAAGACAGGTGGTAGCAGGGACTGGGGAGAGAAGAGCGGGGAGGGCTACTAGTGGGTGTGGGTTTCTCTTGAGGTGATAGAAACTGTCTAGGGTTAGATAGTGATGGCTACATAATTACAAATGCACAGGAGAACTTAAAAGAATGAATTTTATGGTATGATTACATTAAGTTACATTAAAAAAAAAACAACAGCATTTCGTGCTAGTGAGAGGGATGGTATCTGAGGGGTTGTAACTGGGAGACGCCTTCATGGAACTAACTCCACAAACTCCAGGACCTGTCTGCCTGGGTTCAGATCCAACCTCTTTAACTACCTCGCCATGACCTTGGATAGATTATTTAGCCTTTCTGTTCCTCAGTTTTTCATCTCTAATATGGGTTTAATCCTAATAGTCTTCACTCCTAAATTTGGTTATGAAATTAAATGAACTAAATCATTTAAAGGGCTAGCTTTTGTTATTATATTTTCCCTGTGATAATATGGAGACACCAAAAAGACTTCTGTCACCAAGAAGATGAAAAAAGAATGAATGGGAATAAACTGGGTGAAGGGGCAGTGGCATGTGCAAAGGCCCTGTGCTAGGAGAAAGCACAGTGCAGTCAAAGAAGTATCAGGAGACAAAGGTAGGTGCTGGTGTACAGTGTAAGAGGGAGGGGCAGGGTGTGCACGAGCGTGGAGACGTGGGAGGGGGCCAGTCCTCTAGGCCAGGTGGGCCTTGGGGTCTTGGTTTTTATCTGACAGCACTGCAGTGGGTGCTGTGGAGGGTCAAAGCGCAGAGAACCGAGCACAGGAGACAGACTGACACCAGCCAGCAGCCACACGAAAGGAAGGTGGGATGGGACCAAAGGAAGTTTGGCTTCCCTTGGGTGGGTGTCTTAGTCCGGGTTCTCTTAAGAGTTTGAGAAAAGGACTATGGGCAGGAAATTGATTTGGAAAGTGATCCCCAAGATCAGAGTGAGACAGGGAAGGGGGAAAAGTAAATCTGAGGTGTGTCCTTGAGGCTGCAGGGGAGCCCCACCCTGTGGGACCTCCCAGAAGCACATAGAAACTTCGCAGACTGTTGTGAAGGACAAAGGCTTAGGACATGTACCCACGGAGCCTGCCCCCAGTTAGCTCAGGTGGCCCCCAGAGGGTGTTCCCTCCCCAGCACTTCTGGGTGGAACTTGTGGAACAGATGAGGCCTACTGGCCCCTTGAAGATACTGGGAGTTAAGGACACTTGTCACTCAAACAGGAAAGTCTCAGAGCAGGGGCAGGGGGTGCTCTAGTTATGCCCCTCAGAGCATGTGGGGCCTTTGGGGCCAGGGCAGCACAGGGTGGGGTGGGGTTTTCTGGGAGAACTGTTCCTGTAGCTGGATATCAGTGTGAGTGATTCTGAGCTTCTGGCAGGTAGGAAAGTGGAAGGCCGACAAAGTGTTTCCCAAAAACGTGGTGAAGTATTGAGGTTCTGGGTTTGCCCTTCCCCTGACTCTCACTGGTGCAGGTCTTGGGCACTGTGCTAGTTCCCTGGGGTACAGGTAGAGGTGAGACCAAGGAGCTCACTGCAGGTTGGCTCACATCCCAGCACAGTGTCCTGTGAATTCAGGTCAGAAAGGACAGAAACCTACGTGAGGGAGAGAAGACTTAAAGGAAGAAGTTAAGGCCTGCTTTTGTCTAAATGGTTTGGGGCAGGAGAAGAATTTATTGGCTATATCACTAAAGGCTCTGGGATAGGCTGGCTTCAGGTAAGGCTGGTCCCAGGGTGCCCAGATGATGCTGTCAGGAAGGTGCCTCAGGCCTTCTCTTGGCTTTGCTTTCCTCTGTGTTGGCATCGTTCTTGTGCAGGCTGTCATCACAAGTGCTCTCTGGTACCCCACCAGCTTTGCAACCCTGGTGGAAAGACAAGGCCCCTTTCCCACTTTCCCAACAAAGATCTCAGGGAACTTCTCATTGACCATCACTGGAGCCATCGTGGAATGAGGTCAGGCATGTGTCTGTTGTCTATTCCCAAGTCACATGGCTACCCTGGGGTGTCTGTTCAAGTCACATGCCCTGACAGTGGGATGGGGGTGGCCTCAAGGGGAAAGTACTGGCTTAGCCCAAAGAAGCGTAGGAATCAAGGCGGAGACAACAGTTATCATCTGCAGTGCCAGAGTGGGGTGAAAATGCCACCCACAAGCCTCTGAGTAGTGGCAGTGTGGGTCCCCTTGCAGGATTTTAGCAGGGAGGGTCAGGACCAGCCCTGAGTTTCTGGGGAGCAGTTGGAATGGGAGAGCTGAGGGTAGACCCTCTGTGATCATCCAGGTGAGAGGCCAGGTCTATGAGGGTGGCTGGAGGGGAAGACAGAGGCCACAGACAGCCTCCAGGAGTTTGGAGAGGTCACCCCTTCCTCCCCTGGCAAACCTCTGGGCCTGGAGAGAGTTTGGCCCGGTGTTTTGCTGGCAGGGAATGCCTGATCCAACCACAGCCACCAAGAACATCCCCCCGGCCATAAGACTGTGAGCCCCAGATCACCCTAGCAATGGGGACAGGGACATTTCACACCTCCTTGGCTTGAATTCTGTCGTTTTTAGCTTCCCTTTCTGGCACTGAGGGGGCGGGACAGAATGCGGGAATAAAATCAGGTGGTTGTCATGAATAAGCCCTCGCTGCTTCTGCAATCTGTTCCCAAACTCAGGATGTCTTTGCTGGGTTTGACCCCCTCCCCCAAGCTGCAGGGTCAGGGGGTGCTTGTCACTCCAGCAGGGATACCACAGGTATACTGCCTTGCAATCCTCTGTCTCTTTGGTGGCCAGTTTCTTACCTGACAGTGAACTTGAGGGAAATGAACTTGAGTTGACTCAGTGGTTCGTGACTGGGATGGAGGGCATGGGCAGGCACAGCGGAGAGGCAGGCCTTCATTGGTCTCGTGGGTCTGCTGGGAAGGGGTATGATGTGCGGCAGAGCTCCAGGCAGAGACAACATCATGGACCCCATTGGAGAATAGGGGGGTTGGTCCTGCCCTGGGACTGGAACGGGCAGATGGGAGCTGTGGAAGGATCCAGAGCTGGAGAGGAGTCAGCTCTCTGTGTCTGCTTGTGTGGCCTGACCCAACAGTCCTTTCTGAGCTGTCTCATTTCTGTGTGATCACAGAGCAGACAAGGCTCTTCATAACTTTTGTAAGATGTCAAGAGACAATTCACACTATACAGTTCCACCATCAAAAGTGTGACTCTGTGGGTGCAGTGCTATGTGCAGCTATCACCACTATGGAGCATTTACGTCACCCCAAGAAATAACCCTACCCTTACTAGTATTCACTCTCTGCCCCTGCCTGAGCCCCTGGCCACCATTCATTTTTGTGTCCCTGGATTTGCCCGCTCTGGACATTTCCTGCGAATGGCACCCAACACGGTGTCCTAACTGGCTCCCTCGCTTGGTGCGTTGGCTGGTTTGCCCTGCTCCTATTCTGAAGGAAGTTTCTTGCCTTTCACTTTGAACTGCCCAGTGGCCTAAAAAGACCCTCTATGACATCAGTAAGGAAGCAACAGTTGGTAGTAACCCCTCAAGAATGCTGTTATAACAGCTCTGACTTCCAGCCTTGCTTGTGAGTGAAGGAGTTGAAAGGCCTGCTGGGGCTGATTCTTGCATGAAAGGCTTGGACATACCGAGGGTGAGCAGAGTAGCAACAGCCATTCCTCTTTGCTGCTGGAGTGGAGTGAGCTGTCCAGGCCTTAGGACAGAGCTCCCTGGTGGAAGACATGGCTTCCCTGAGGCTCTGTGGCTTGTCAACTGGTTTTGTGTCCCCCCCGCACCCCCCAGGGAGCCACTGGGGCCTCTGAGCATCTTCCTCAAGCCATGTCCGCAGTACCTCGGGACTAGTGATCCAGCCAAGATAACCTGTCACTTCCATAGTCCCTTGTGGATAAGCCTAGGAGGCCCACGGCCCCTGGGCCAAGGGCCCTGTTGGGGAGAGTCTCCATGGCCTCTCCATCTGGACAGGCCAGTCCTGGCTGCTCATGGCCTGGTGTGGGTAGCTGTAGGGAAGCTGGAACTTTCAACTTTCCTTCCTTTCAGACCACAGTACCTGAAGTCCACCTGCTTTTGCCAACCTGTCTGGGACTCCCCTAAGATCTAAGGGGGTCAGATCTCTCCCCCCATAAAAGAGCACCCCCTTCTCCAGAGAAAGCCCCTGAAGTGTCTTGGGCCATGACAACTCCCGGGTGAGCTGCTGCAGCTTGAAAATCTTTTGGTTCATAGGGGCCCTCCCCACATGTCTGGTGGGGCTCATGGAAATATAACTAGGTGATCCAGAGCTGGGCTGGAAAATGATGGTGGGAGGAGCAGGCAGCATGCTCAAAGGAAAGTGGGGAAGTGGGGGTTTGGGAACCCCTTTGAAGGGCTGTCGACTTTCCTAGGATATGCCAGTGCCCCTTGCCCCCAGGGGAAGCACAGGACCAACCCCAGTGAATCACAGGACCTGGGGTGTCCAGGGAGGAGCAGACTGTATGAGCCTGAGAATTGGGCCCACAGCAGAGGGTGCTGGTGTCTCCAGAGCCCAGGCAGGGGATGCCAAGATTCGGTGCGTGGGCAGACATGGAAGAGCATGAAAAGGAGCAACTGCTGTGTAGCACCAGCCGCCTAGAGTTACCACATGGACCCAACGTGACCAGTCTCCCAGTTCCTTCCAAAAGGAAGCCCCCACCCCAGACTATAGTGGGATCCCAGGGAGTTGGCAACTGATTCAGGTGCTTTAGAACATAGCGAGGGGCAAACAAAATGTGTATAAGTGGCATCCTGGCAAACTCCTACACATTTGTTGAGACCCCTGCACAGAGACCTTATCTGCAGTCACTTCTTCCTTGGTCCTCCACTGTTAGGCTTTGATGACCCTGCACCTCTTAGGTTAGCGTGCCATGACTGTTTCCATGCTCCCTTCCGCTCCCATCTGTCTGATTCATCTGGGCTCAACGACCAGCTGGCACAGAGTTGATGCTCGATAAATGTTGAGTACATATTAGACATCCAGGGATGTTTCTCAGTCTGGGCAGGGAAGAGAAAGGAGCTGCATGAAGAGCGCCTGCTATATACTGGGCACTCGCTCTAGCGGACTTGCTCCACTAGAGGACGCTGTCCATGTATGTGGCTCTGCAGAGGGAGGCAGACATTGAGGATGAGCCTGAGGACCAGCCCTCCTGACAGTGGGTGCGGCAGGGGGAATTCAGCCCTCTCACACCCCTCTGCTAGTTCCTGGGTAGCCAGAAGCCTTGGGGTGAAGACTGTCAGCTTCCAGTTCCCACACCCACAGGTCTGTGCTGACCCCTGGACAGACCAGCTTCCCCTACCACACCTGCCCCACAGTTTTGTCACCTGATCTGCCCTGGTGGCAGGTGTCTCCTCTCAAGTGTCCTTTCTCAGAACAGTCCGTCCTGACTATCAGAATGAGAAGCATCTCACCTCTGCCTTCTGGAGTCCTCCAGCACCCTGGCCTTGCGTCACCCATCTGGGCTCAAGGCCCTTTTCTCCTTGTGCTGCTGCAGAAGGTTTGGGGGAGGGGCAGGGTGTCTGTTTCAGCCCTTCATCCCCCCCAGTTCCAGAGCTTTCCCACACCAGAGTTTCTGTCCAGTCCTTCTAGCTGCTCAGGCGATGTTGGCTGCTCTGGATGTTGGGAACATGGAACCATCCTTCCTGCAGAGCAGGCCGGCTGCCATGAGGGAAGCTTGCAACAACTTCCTTGCAATGAAAAAAATGGGGGGGGGAGTGTTGTACCACTGGCAGGAATGTAAAATGGGACAGTGGCTGTGGAGGACAGTTCTGCAGTATCTCAAGGTTAAGCATAAGGGCCCTACCGGGTGGCCCAAGGGGTTAAGTCTCAGCATTATGAAGCTGTCTGCAGCCACTGCAGCATGAGTTCGATCCCCAGCCAGGGAGGTGACCCGCACGGCACAGCAGACCTCTCCTGTCTCCCCGCTGCTCCCCTCAGCAGTGGATTTCAGTCAGTACTCCTGTTCTGCTCCCCACTCTGTCTCTGGTGAATCCTCTCATCCCCTCACCTCTGGTCTGTATGCACCTCATTTCTTGTATGCATAAATAAATATATCTTTAAATGAAAAGAAAAGTTAAACATACTATGACCACATGACCCCACAAGTATTGCCCCAAAGGAATCGAGAACAGATGTTCAGACAGACCGTGCATGGGTCGGGTGTCTGGGGTAGCTGTCCACAGGAGCCATGGGGTGGTGACAGCCCGAAAGCCCATGCATGGACACAGGGAAAGAGAATGCTGCCTACTCACTCAGTGGAATATGATTTGGCCACAAAGATGAGGCCCTGACCCCCACAAACTGGATGCCAAGAAAGACACCAGTCATGAAAGGCTGCAGAGTGTGATTCTGCTTCTAGGAAATGCCCAGAAAAGGCAGATCCATAGACACAGAGCAGAAGGTGGCTGCCAGGGCCTGGGAATGATGGCTAATGGATGCAGGGTCCCCTTTCGGGTGCTGGGAAATTTCTGGCAGTAAATAAAGTAATGGTTCAGGGAACTAGATGGCACTGAATTATGTATTTTAAATGGTTAACATGGGAAATGTTATGGTGTGTGCATCTAACTTGAAATATTTGAAAGGCTTTTTGCTGTGGTGGAAGGCTGGAAGGAGGGGCTTGGGGTCTGGCCCTGAGCAGCAGAATCCTTCCCAGGTCCCACCCCCACTCAATCTTGAGAAGCCCAGAGCCTCTGGGAGGAAAAGCTGATCACAGATGAGGACTGCGTGGGACTTAGTGTCAATGAGAAAGAACTGCACAGGCTCAGATTCCAGCAACTTTGGGCAATTTAGTAGCAGCTGCCAAGACTGAGATGAGACGGTGGGCGAGAGGTGGGTGGTGGCAGCAGGGGCGGAGGGCACACAACGCTTCCCCCCACCCCCAACACCTTTAGTGCTGCTTGTAGTGTAGCTCTGAGTGGGTGAGGCTGGACAGCTCAGCTATTGTGCAGGCCTTGGCGGTACTGGTTTTCATCTTAGAGAGCAGAGGCTGCCCCACAAGTTCTTCAAATAGCTCCCTCCGCTAGTGCTGGGGCTGGGAGGGCAGGGAGTCTGGGAGCACTGTGCAGAGTGGGCGCTGGTGGTAGCCTCCAGGAATTCATTCACAGCTTGTCTGCCTCCTCCAGACGGATCTGGGCGGAGACGAGGGTGTCTCAGAGGCAGAGAAGGCGGCCCTGGATCTCAAGGACCCCAACCGCCCCCGGTTCACGCTGCAGGAGCTGCGGGATGTGCTGCACGAGAGAAATGAGCTTAAGTCCAAGGTGTTTCTGTTGCAGGAAGAGCTTGCCTACTACAAGAGGTGAGGGCCCCTGGCCGTGCTCGCTCCAGACCACTCTCCAGGGCTGGAGGGGATGAACTGACTCCCTTCTGGGGTCGGGTGGAGTCTGCAGACCGCTAGGATTGCCATCTGTCTCTCTCTGGGCCTAGCTACTGGGAAGGGATTTACATGCACTGTGTGGTCTGGGCAGCACCCCAAAATCAAACACTAATATTTTGCAGTGAAAGATAGGAACAGTTATACTAAATGGGGTACACAAAGATGATAAGCAACCTCACAGGACTTTATTTCCAATTTTGCCACCCAAAGAGTAACCAATAAAAGCGATTTTTGGATTTGAGATTTGCAGCTAAGAGAGCACCATATACAAGGACAGCCAAGCACATGTTCTAAGTCCATGGCCATTTGGTCCTTAGGTGGATCAGAGTTGTGCTGTTCCATCTTGTAGTCACAAGCCACAAATAGCTATTTAAGTGTAAATGAGTCCCATTTAAATTAATTGTAAAGTTCAGTTCCTGGCTTCCCTGTGCTTATTCAGCGCTGTGGCAGGTGGCTACCATGTTAGAATATTTCCATCCCCGTGGACAGTGCTGTTTTCAACCTAGACCACTATTCGTTTAGTTTCATACACACCACCCTCCTATTGTTTCCTCAAAACACACTACACTGTCTCCTACTTCAGGACCTTTGCACATGCAGGCCCTGCAGTCAGGGAAAACATTTCCCTTGGCTCTTACCATTAACTGCTGGTAATTCAGGGTTTGGGTCAGAGGAGCCTTTGTTTCCATCACACTCCTCCAATGGCACACTCTGTCACTATACCCAGTTTATGTACTTCCTATCTTTTACCACCATCACATGTTCCTTAATGTGCTTGTTTTACTGTCTGTTTCTACATCCACTCTAAGTAACACAGAACTGAAAACCTTATTTGTCTTCTTCATGGCTAAGTCTCCAGCACTTAAAATGGAGCCCTGCACAGAGCACTCACAAATACCTATTGAGTTGAAAGCCAGGAGGAAGGACAGAGCATTAGATGTGACCCTTGCCCCAGCAGGGAAGATAAGACATGCACAGAAAACACAATGCCAGCCTGTGTTCATCTTTATCTGTGTGCCTGATGTCCATGTACATGGGCTGTCAAAATAGGGAGATCATTCTGACTTGGGGTGGGTGGAAATCTGGAAGGCTTCATGGAAGAGGTGGTGTTTTAACTGGGCCCTCCCTAAAGAATAGGGCCTGGGGGATTGGTGGGTGCCCTGTCTCAGGTGGAAGTAACCACAGAGGTATGGAGAGAAGCCTTTGGTTAGGACAGGAAACAGGTAGTAACTCTGTGGTGGGAACCTTGCAGAAAACAGAAGACAGAGGTGGGTTCCTTTTCTGAAATTCCTTACCTTTGAAGAACTGGACCAAAGAGACAGGCAGGCACCTGTGTGCATTGCCTCCAAGGCTCACCCCCCTAACCAGCCATGCCCTTCAGGCTGCTCACAGGCAGACTAGGGCAGAGGCCATTCTCCTCTCAGACCATCAGACAGTACTCTTCTGGACTATTCCAGCTCTCACAGAAATTTTGACTCTTATTACATGCCTCTCAACTCCTTCCAGTGAAGAAATGGAAGAGGAAAACCGAATACCCCAACCTCCACCCGTCGCGCACCCAAGAATGTCCCCCCAGCCGGAGTCCGGGATCAAGCGGCTGTAAGTGACATGCTTGTGCCTGAGGGTGGCTCCTCTGGTGGCTGACCTGGCGGTTCTCGAGGCCTCACTTCTCCTGGCACCTGCTCCAGGGCCAGGCTTGTTGCTAACCACCCTGGCTCACCCTGGCCTAACCCTGGGAGTACAATAGGTCTAGCTCCCCGGCTTTGAATCCTCTGGGGACCAGGGGCAGAGATTTTTGGGGCGGCTGAGGCGTGGGCCATGGCTGACATGTGTGGCTTGAGTGTGTCTCTGGGCCTTGGAGGATAGCAGAAGAGCCTGGGGGAGGTGCACGCATCTGAAGGGCTGGGCCCATGGTGTCTGGCATGGCTCCAGGCCCACCTCCTTTGTGCCTTTCTGGACATTCAAGCTCCTGTCTGTCTGTCCCTCCGGCAATTATAGGGATATAGTTTATGCAGAGTCAGACCCTGTTTGCTATGGGGTCACACAAGAAAGTATGCCCCGGTCCCCGTCCTCGACTAGACTTTAAGCTGCTTCAGAAGATCATGGCATCAGAAGTCCCTTTGAGAGAGTCCGATGAGAGATGCAGGCTGTCGCCCTGGTGAAGGGGGGACCTGTGCGATCACCTGCCAGCCCTGCAGGTAAAGGGGTAAAGCCTCTGGGCTGGCGAGCTAACTGACATCTACTGTGAACCCACTGGGTACCCAAGAGTGCAGCAGTCTTCACCGGCGCCCTGTGAGGCGAAGGCTCTGTTCTCCCCAGCTGCAGTTAAAGGGAAGGAGGTAGCTGCCTAGAACGACTCAGTAGAGGCAGCACTAGGCTTTGAACCAAGGCCTGCGGCTGCAGAGTTCACAGTTTAAACTCTGCAGGAAGCCTCATCTCCCAGTAGGGCCCTGCAACCTTCTTAGCTCCCCTGAGAAGGACTGGCTGGCTCTCAGACTCCCAGCTATTCCCAAGGGACCTGTGCCCTAAACCCCAGAAGTATTTCAAAAGCAAGTGGCAGGGTTGGAGAGACCCCAGGAGCACTTATGGAGAATCAGGTGCTTTCCTCAAGTGCCTCCACCTTTAAACTCCAGTTATGTTTGCAGCTTCTTAGCCAGTGCTGAGCCTGTGAACCAACCTGGTACTCAGCTTTGGGGTATGAGACGGGACGCAGCTGTGTGCAGACTATTACTGCTGGCTTAGAGAAGGTTCTAATTCTGGATGCTGGTGGCCACAGGGAAGGCTGGCTGGCTGCCCCCTGGAGTGTGGGGGTTCTCACCGGGCTCCTTTCCAAGCTTCTCTTGCCACTTCGTGTTACTTGTGAACTTGACCTTCAATTTTAGGAAGAGGGGGTTGTGGTCCCCAGTTCTGGTTGGTGGTACACTATTTCCTGGGGTAAAGTTTGCAGCCAGAAAGACACTTATGTCTTTCCGAAGCCTAGTTCTTCTGGCCTTCTGTGAGTGAGCTTCTACTGGCAATTGAAATTCAACTTGAAGATAACTTAAGGAAAAGAAACACTTCTGGCTGAGTAACCAGAAGTTCCCAGGTGTTTTTCAGGCTCAGCTGAATCTAAACCTGTCACCAGGCCCTTGCCGGGTGGCCCTGTTCCTGAACACACTCTCCCTTCAGGGACCAATATGGCAGCTGCTGAGCCTTCAGCTGTCTTCAGTGAAAGGCCAGTGGAAAAAGAGAGTCCTTCTTCCCAAGAGTTGCCCAGAAGTCAGAGCGTGGAGATGCCTTGGCCTGATAGGGTCACATGACCACTCTATGCCAATCACAGTAGAGGGCATCGATTGGCCAGGTATGGGTCTCCTTCTCAGGCCTGAAGCTCAGAGTAGTTTTAACTCCAGATTCATTTCACTTGAACTGAAAGTAGGGGAAGGAGAGACCACCCCAGCCAAGATCAAAGTGCTGGGCAGAGAGGAATGGGTGTCCACTGCAGCCTCATCTTGGGGGAGAGGAGCCCTCGGCCTTGGTTCCAGGATTAGCCAGTACCAGGGCGCCCATCCAGTGCTTGGAAAGAAAGGGGGTTGACTGAATTGACTTTTCGGAAACTCTGACCCACCCACCAGCCCCTCTCATGAGAAGTTCCACTTGCTCAGCAGCTGCACTTTGGGCTTTAGATCTGGGGGAGCTGAGACAGTTTCACAGACCCCACCACCCCTCCCTGGACTGAGGGAGAGTGGAGACCAAGAGACCAGCACTCTCCTTCCTTTTGGCACTTTGTCCCCATCTAAGTCAGCCTTTCTAGCATCTTCACTTACAGGGAGCTGCAGCTCCAGCATGTCCTGAGTCACATGAAATTCTGGAGATTCCTTCCAAAGCTGGGTTTTTACATTTTCCACTCCAGCCTCTTTCTCTAAAACAGGTCATCAGGAGAGTAGGCTTTAGTTGATCTCAAACTGGGCAAAACACAGCGGAGAGTTATCAGAAATAGCCAACCATCTTTCCACTAGTTCTGCTCCCCACACCTGCACAGGCTGTGGTGTCTCATCTTCCTGCACACATTGTTCCAGAAGGACCCTTGGGCCCCACTTGAAGAACCTTCTCCCCCTGAGTGGGGCTCCTGATTACCCAGCAAGACCTGGGGTGTTAGCCTGACAGGAGAAGCAGCTAGAATTGGGGAGCCAGAGAAAGAGAAGGGACAGGCAGACAGAGACATAGAAAGAGAAAGCAAGAGAAAAATGAGAATCACTGCACTGGGGTACAGGCGGCCGCCTCTTAGGGGGATAACTGGGAGATAAAACTGGCACAAAAGGCTTTTGACTAGCCCAGGCTGGACACTGATGGCCTTTGTCCCCCTCAGCTGCTGACTGGAAGCTGCCTTAGTACAACCAGAGTGCCCAGAGCAGGGAAGCAACCCCTGGGGGCTGGGCAGGAGTGGACACCCCTTCACTCTGCCCTGCTCTGCCACCCATCTGGATCTGCCTGGTCCCTTCAGCTTCACCTCAGTGGAGCGTCAGCATGCCCGTTAGCTGCCTTCTAGCTCAGCTTCCTGCCCTGGCCAGCTTTCCCTGCCCACTGGTTGGTCAGCAGCAGCTACCACGGGAATTTGAGCAGCTTCCCTGCTCACAGCACTTGAACTAAGGTGTCTGCCATCCTGAAATCAGAGCTGGAACAGCAGACCCTCTTTCTCAGATAAGGAAACTGAGGCCAGAGCAGCCTTCATTTACTGGAAGGACCCAAGTCAGATAAGCACCCACACCTCTGTCCCCTCCCTGTGCTGGCCTGGCTCTCACATTCTGCGTCCCCCCCCTCCTCTCCTCACCCCACTCCCAGTCACCAGATGTGGGCTGACTGCCCAGTTCCCTTATCTGTCAAATGCACCACAAGCCAAAGACGCCAGCTTCTGCATTTCTGGGCTGTTCCCTTTGGTCGAGGGAATCAGACACTCCTGCTGCCAGCCAAAACAGTGTGCCCAGAGGGTGGGCCAAGAATAGCTTGTGATTGAGCAGCCGGCTGGCACTGCCCAGGAAGGTCACAAGGGAGCAACTGAGACTCCAGCCTCGTCCCCAGCGGACACCAGCTCTGTTACCCCCTTTTGTGTGGTCCCCAGCTCTCCGGCACAGCCACAGAGCTGCTTTCTGCAGAGCCGGCTGAGGGGCTGACCAGGAGAAAAGAAGCAGGTGGTGGGTACGAAGGGCTTGGCAGGGACACTGCGGATGGGAACTTGGCCTGACACACCGGAAAGGTTGCTGTGGGTGGGCGGCCTCCGAGTGTGCCCAGTGGCAGCAGCAGTGCATTCTGCCCCCATCCTACCCACCGCCCTCCTCGCTTCAGCCCAGAAATAGCTTCATCACAGCCACCCGTTACCCGCCTGAAATGCCACAGTTTGAGCTGCATCTGGTTTGTCTTCCAGAAATATTCAGCAGGGCTGGGGGTATTCAAACCAGCAACACCAGATTCAGGACATAAGCTTTTGGCCAAAACAAGCCAGTCTTTTCATGGAAGCAGCTGTACCTCCAGTGGTGGCAGCTTCTGTAAGGAACACCTGAGCTAGGGAGGTAGCATTTGTGTCAGGGAGGGAGCACTGGGCTGGAGAGGGAGCACATAGGCTAGAAAGGGTGTCCCTGGGCTAGAGAGGGAGCACCTGGGCTAGAGAGGGAGCATCTGGATTACGGAGGGAGCACCTGGACTAGAGAGGGAGTGCCTGGATTAGGGAGAGAGCACCTGGCTAGAGAGGGAGCGCCTGGATTAGGGAGGGAGCACCTGGGCTAGAGAGGGAG